AAAGAGGAAGAGAGAGAAAGAAGAAAAAAGATCATTAGAAGAAGAAGAAGAAGAACAAAGAAGAAAGAGTTTAACTTTTGATCCGAAAGTTTAAGGCAAGTTCTTTGTTCTACATTTCTCCCTTAGATCTGTTATTTATATGTCTCTAGTATAACTTTAGGGATGATTAAAAGATTTCTAGAATCTGAATCCATGTTTAAATTAATCTAGAGCATAGTTTTTATGGGTTTATGTTCATATTTGTTCTTGATGTATGTTTTGGTAAATTTATGGCTTAGATATGATTTTTGATGGATTTCTACATGTTATAATGATATAATTTCATGCTTGGGTGTTTATGGGACTTAGTAACATGCTTGAAAACCCTTAACAACGGAGAACAGGGCTGAAAATTGGACTTCTTAAGTTGTTTCATGAAACAGTGCTCGAGCACACTTGGGTACTCGAGCACACTAAGGATAGTTTTCGAGCACTCTCTCGAGTTTTTGGGTAAAAATGCATTTTTTGACCCTAATATGATTATTTAAGGTCCCGAGCACTAAATAGGGACTTAGGGAAGATGATATGTGAATTTAAATAGGCATGAGTACAACTATGCATGCAATTTGATTTATTTAATGATGAATTGGTGAATTTAATCGTTTAATTTGTTTTAATAATTGAGATTAAATGTTTAGCATAAGATATGTTTGGGAAAACGCTTAATTGGTTGTGAGTATAAAAATTCAACATGTTTAAGGTCCAGTTTATGTGAGATAAATATTGCAGGAAGTTCTATATAAATTATAAGTTGTTTCTGTGATTTAATGACATGAAATTATATGTTATTTATTGTTATAATATAATATGATTTTAATCAATTTCATATATATGTTTATGATCTTAAACATGATATATATATATATATATATATATATGTTTAGATTATTTGAGAACCATTGTCAGGATGTGGTTCTATGTCATGCCATTGTCAGGATGTGGATTACGTGCCATTGTTAGGATATGACTATTACATATTTTTATATATATTCCAACCCATTGTTAGGTTATACGTATTGTTGTTATTTGGATACCATTGTCAGGATATGGTTAGTTATGTCTTTAATGATATTATGTGTACCATGATACAAGCTTGAGGTCTTGTGATCACTAGATAGGGTGGAGGCGTATATTGCCAATTAAGATGAGTAGCTAGATTTATGGATATGTGTGCCCTGGTAGAAGGAGGACTCGTGACCACCTTTGTGTGCGTTTTGCATAAGATACTCACTACACGGTTGAGTCTGTCTTAGTCCAGTGAGAGTCTTTAGTGTGTATATTTATATACTTATTGACTATGTAGATATTATATGAGTTAGTTATAGATGTGTAGTTTATTCAGGTCTCTGTTTAGGTTGTCATGGAAAGGAATTGTTGTGGGTTTTGACCCACCATTATTATATTTTTCAGGTCCTTATCAGTAGTAGGATTAGTAGTTGTTCGTGCAGATCAGAGACTTGTCATCATCACTCTTCCGATGTCATCGACGTAGGATTCTATCATCTGATTAGTAATTTCCATCTTTAGGTAGTTGTTTATTTTCAGTTATTGGTTTTTTTGGGGGTCCATGTTTAAGGATTCCCGAGTTATATTCTTTTAAAGAATTTATTCAATGGAGATTTTTATCTATCCTTAAGGATTAAATGGGTTTATTTAGAGGATATGATTTATTTAATTATTAGTTTTCCTTTCAGCGATATTATTTTCTTATTTATTTATCTTTTTGTATTTTGTGTTCAATTTAAAATATTAATTGTTTGATATTGCTCTCAGTCTCATGTACAGACTTGATTAACCAGTATTCCGGAATTGAGGGGTATCACACAAATTCACCGGTTAACTTGTTGTTGCACTTGGTTGGAGTAAAATCACTGGCGGCCATGGTTGTGATAATTCAGCAGCCACTACTGGCTGAACAACTTGTGATGAAATCGATCGAGGAACCGATTCTTGATTATTAGAGCTTCCAGCCTGAGTTGGTCTGTTCATAATGGCAGTTGAAAGCTGCGACATAGTCTCATGCATGTCATTATGACGAGCACTAATTTTTCCCATTGCCTCTACTAAGGAGATCACCTCTGCTTGAATTATTGCTACTTCAGATCATATAGCTAATTCATCCACAAGGCCCAACATAGAGCTTTCAGCCTAAGTTGGCTGATGTTCTTCTTCCGAATCTTTATCGGTAGCAGCAACCTTGGAGTTCCTAAGTCGTGACATTACTGCTTCTTTTAACACCACCAAGCGGGGGGTCCAACCGGGCATGCCAATTTATGTTGGCACAAAATTTGGCTCATACAGCTGATTGATACTGCGGGCATGCCAGAGTTATAAAAAAACTCAATGAATTAAACATCAACTATCCTTTTTAAATGATGGCTGATTGCAAGCAATTGTGTGGGAGAGAAATAGTTAGAACTCCCAGTAAGGTTCTTTTTTTTTTTTTTTTTTTTTTTTTTTTTTTGCAAGGACTTTTGTGGTGTTAAAAGAAAAATGCAGTATAAATAAAAGAATTAAAATGAAATGGCTGAATTAAAATTGCATGGAAAGAAAAGTGCGAAGAAAATAAATTACAGAATTGAGATTGACTTGAAATGAAACATATAATGCGGGTAAAGGAAAAGGAAAATGCCTAATTAAACATTGCAAGAAAAAGAAGTTTGCTGGAACTCAAATTACTTAAATGGAAATTGTCGTTGTAATCAAAATGATGAGAAAGGAAATTGGCAAGCTTAAGATCTCAGGATCGATGATTAGGGAAAGATAAATGACGAGTCAATTAAATTGCATGTTTTTGGAGTGGTATTTATAGAAATTTCCATTAACTAAATTGTCCCTTGCTATGAAATCTCCATCCTTTATTTTCTCTTGACTTATTTGGATTAGATTAGATTTGTGGTAAGCAACTTACGTGGCACATGCAGCTTTCTCCAAATATTTCTCTTTTTATTTAGGACGTTAGTTGCAATTAGTAAAACCATCGTCTGATCCTTCCTTGTACTTCATAAACTTGGTAGCCATCTTCCATCTCACTCAGAAGGCTGCCAAGTTTAGGAGCCAATAGAACCACCAAGTCATTAAAATCTCAACTTATGGTCATTATACTCCGGACTAGGTTTTGTTTGTGTTTGGCAAACGTCGCTAGAATTTCTATCACCCAAGGAAGGATTACAAGACTACTGACTTATTTTTGTTTCAACTTAATTTGGCAGTCACTTTTATCAAAACCTATGAAGCACGGACACTCCACCCAGGGGTCCCGTACCTGTGTCGGATACTTTTCGGACACCGACACCCATGTCCGAGGCTCGGACACGTGTCCGACACTTCTATAAAGTGTCCAAATATTATTTTTTATTGGACACGCGTGTCCGAGGCTCGGACACACGGTCCGACACTTTTGTGAGACAAAATTTATTTTCTCACTCCTCTCAGTCTCTCATATTCTTCAATTATCTCTCTTCATGAACAAGATATATATATATATATATATATATATATATATATATATATATATATATATATAAGTTATATGAACAAAACTTTGTGAAAGACTGAAAGTATATATGTTTATTCATATACATATTTAGTTCATTATAGTTATGTCTCTTCTGCACATCTTCGTTTGGAATTTGGATCAACTTTATTTTTTATTTATTTTCTGTTTTGTCTTGTCTATATTTTTCTTATAACAGAGATAAAATTATTGAAATTGATTCTGTTATTTGTTGTTATTTTATTTATCTGTACAAGATTCTAGTAATTATATTTTGAACATATATATATATATAGATATATATAATTTTATAGGCGTATTCCTGTCGTGTCCGTGTCTTATTTTTTTAAAATTTGCCGTGTCGCTGTATTCGTATCGTGTCGTACCCGTATTTCATATTCGTAATCGTATCTCATAGATCAAAACTAATAGATAGGTCAATACGTGATGCTTTGACAAATGGGAAAATACCAAGAAAAGTCGATAGAATTAATGTAACCTTTCCAATTTTTGTCGTGTAACAACCAAACACAACTTTATCTAAAACCAAGGAAATCTATTATTTCATGGACCCAGTGTAAAGGAAGCTCAGAAATCCACTTAATAGGCCTCAATTTCTCTAGTAATTAAATGAAGAAATATTATTTTATTCACACTTTCATTTTCATTTTTAATTTTAATTTTTTGTTTTTTTTTGTTAAGTAAGATCACTTTTATTTTTCTTAACTAGATATATCTCCACTTTATAAGTAGTGAATGCTTTATGATTGGAATAAAAAATTTAAGTAATTAAGTGGCGTTAATATTCAATTCATATATACACGTTTAGTTTTTCATTGTATGGACAAGTTTTCTTATAACATTCTCTTACAGCGGTCGAATCACCTTATCTACTTGAGTTACCTAAACCTAATCTCTTCGGATATGACACTTAGCGTGACACCAAATCAAGGAATGAGTTTGACTCTCATATCAACTATAATAAATGAATTTTTTATTATCTAATTAAAAATTTTAAACTATTAAATGAAACTAACAACCTAAAACGTCCCCTTGTAACAGTAGCTCATAGCTATTTTTCAATTCCTAACTCAAATGGTAGCTCATAGCTATTTTTCAATTCCTAACTCAAATGGTACAGCAATTCCGTTGCGAAGAAATGGTGGTGAATCAGTTAGAGTATATATATATATATAAAATTCTTATCTGTTTGTTTGTTTTTTTTATTTTTTATTTTATTTTATTTTATTTTTTGATATTCTGTGTCCTCCATCTATTCTCTCTTTATGGCCCTTGTGATACTCTCTATCATTCTCCATCTAAATTATTCGATTTTAGATATAAAAAATAATAAAATTTTTGAATTGCAAATTTCTTTTGTATATGTTTATAATTTCACATTAACATTAACTCTCAAAATAAGTGTCTTACTAAGTGCATGTCTCAATTAGCCAACCTGCTGAAATTTAAAGATTAATGAACCATTAGAATTAAACCATACAATGCTCTCTTAAACTGAAAATTTATCATCATCGAATAAGTTGTGACTCATTTGATCTATTAAACCAACACATCTAAAATTTATCATATAAATATGTCTATCGACTACTTTCATTTAGTCGAATATTTTTAATAACTAACCAACAACCCACTTGAATATGAAAGGTGGTCGTCAAGAAGTGAATCCGCCGTCAACGACGAGGTCGTGCCCGGAAATGAATGCGGCGTCATCGGAGGCAAGGAACAACACAGCATCAGCAACATGTTTCACTTTCAATACAATCCCTTGCAAGCTCGTAAAAGGCTCATAAGTTTTCTCCACCTCCTCCGCCTCCTTCTCATGCGCCTTGCACATCATCGGCGTCGCCACCGCATACGGCGACACACTGTTCACCCTAATCCCGTGCTCACCGAGCTGCCGGCTCGCTGATCGGACCAGCCCAATCACCGCGTGCTTCGACATGTGGTAGTCGGTCCGCCTCCGCCCCCCTTTCCTGCCGGCCACGCTCGCTGTGCAGACGATGCTGCCCCTCACGCGCCGCTCCACCATTGCACGCGCCGCCTGCTTCACGCACGCGGCCAGGCCGCGGACGTTGATGGCGAAGAGGCGGTCGAACTGGGAGAAGTCGAGATCGAGAATCAGCTGATCCGAGGGACTGATGATGCCTGCGTTGCTGAACATGATGTCGAGCTGGCCGTGAATCCGGACCGTTGATTCCACGATGTCTTTGACCTGATCTTCGTCAGTTACGTCGCAGTGAACGTAGGTGCATTTTGGACCGATGGACTCCGCCACACGCTGGCCTAGCTCGTCTTGGATGTCGGCAATCACAACCGCGCGTGCACCGTGATCCGCAAAAAGACGCGCTGTTTCCTCGCCGATGCCGCTCGCCCCGCCGGTGATTATGGCTACTTTGCCCTCTAGTTTCTTCATTATTGCCATTTCCGTCATCTTTCGGTGACCCACTCACAAGTCGTTCATCAAGTGTAGCCTTTATTTGTTCTTTCTTTACTTCTTTCAACTTTCTTACATTAAGAGACAAATAGAATTCACTGTTTTTGTTTTTATTTTTATTTATTTTTTATTTTTTTTTACCAAACAAATGTAATAAGACAACTTTGAAAGGAGTTTATGACTTAAATAACATTATTTTATTTGGGTGATGGGATTGCATTTAAACCTAATATTTTGCAAATGTTTAAATTCAATCATTTCTGTTGCATTTCAGAGCTTTTTGTAGTCTAATATTATTAATTTTAATCGTAGCCTAATGCATGAATTTTTAATTATTACTAAAACTTAAAAGTTAGTAAGTCCCCGTTAAAAGTTAGCAAATGTTTACGGTTAAAAGTTAATAAAAAGAATCTGTATATATTTTGTATATATAATGTGAATCAATCATGGATTAACGGATGGAATCAATTTTCTTTTAACACCTCAATCAATCAACTGATCCATTGACTACTAATTTCATTCTTATCATTCTGTTGTCGAATAACGAGGCCAAAAAATCAATCACAACCAACGGATCAAATTGATACACCGATTTCACAAACTGACAGATAAAGTGAAAATCCTAATTATGGGAAGTTAGGCGCTCCATCTTATTCTATGTAAAACTAAAATGACAAAACTATCCTTGTAGCACACAAACCAATACATATCATGTTAGCCACCCCTCCTCTGTTTCTTCTTTCTTCCTCCATTTTCTCACACAGTAACTGAATACATTTTACATTCAAAGACAAAAGGTGCCCTTGGCAGCAACCATCGTCTCCATAAGCTAGCCACAGCTCACCGCCGACGATTTGGGGGATTCCTTGATACCCATTTGTCTCTAAATCTCTCCATTTAGGTTTCCTTTACGTTACATATATAGATAATCAATATGTGTATATAAAAATAAAAAAATAAAAAAATTAGAAATTTTTTTTTTGAATTTCAGGTTAGGTTAGGATTGAACCCGAGACCAACTCGAACACGGCTGGGTTTTTCAAAACCTTACCCAATTTGTGCCCGATTTGTAAATTTAGAAGGCCAAATTCCAAAATTTTCAAGTTAGTTTGGGGTTGGCCCGCCCAAATTTTAGATAAGCAATTTCTTCTTAAACTTGTATTCACTCTCTTTATTTTAAAACTTAAAATATAATTTATAACATCTTAATGTACAACTTTCTTGTATTTAAAAATTTAAAATGTTATTCATAACTCTTGGAATGATTTCTTTATATTTAGAACTTTAAATTTTGTTTATAACTCTTGAAATGGTGGAATATATATGCTACTTGTTTGTATTTAAAATTTACAAATATTATTTTACAATTGTTGGAATTGTGTACTATACAACTTCTTTGTATTTAGAACTTAAATTATTACTTATAACTTTTGAAGTAGTATACTTTACAACTTCTTTGTATTTAAAACTTAAAATATTATTTGTTAATTTTTTTTTTTAAAAATGTATAGTAATAATTAAAAATGGCTTACCACTTTTAATAGTAGTATAGAAGTATTTGATATTTTATAAAAATTAATATAAATATATAATTTGTATGTATTTAAAAATTATGTATTTCTTTTTATTTAAAACTTAAGTGAAATTGCTAGAATGTTGGGCTATCCAAATTTTTTTTGCATTTAAGGCTTAAAAATATTATTTACAATTATGAAAATGGTAGACTATACTATATACAACTTCTTTGTATTTAAGCTTAAAATATTATTTATAAATATTGAAATGATCTACTTTGTGTTTAAAACTTAAAATATTATTTACAACCTCTTAATATAATAATTACTTGTATTTAAAATTTAAAATATTATTTATAACTCTTAGAATAGTTTTCTTTATATTTTGGACTTTAAATATTGTTTATAACTCTTGAAATGGTGAACTATGCAACTTGTTCGTACTTAAAACTTACAAATATTATTTTAAAATTATTGGAATTATAGACTACACAACTTCTTTTTATTTAGAACTTAAATTATTATTTATACCTTTTGAAATGGTAGATTTTACAACTTCTTTTTTTTCCTAGTTAATTTTACAACTTCTTTATATTTAAAACTTAAAATATTATTTGCTAATTGTTTTTAAATGTATAGTAATAATTAAAAATGGGTTACACTTTTAATACTAGTATAGAAGTGTTTGATATTTCATAAAAATTAGTATAAAAGTATAGAGATATTCAATAATCAGTTAGTATAGATTAAAAAATTATTTGTTAATTTATTTTAAAATGTATAATAAGATATAATAAAGAATTATAAATATAAGTCACTGAAATTATATATATAATAATTATAATTCACTAAAATTAAGTGGATATTCAGAAAGGATATGTAACATAGTAAATTATTAGGTGTTTTAATGAAGTATGAATTATTAAGTGAATTAATAAGTTTTTTTATATAAGAAAATTAAAAATGCTAAAAAATATTATATGGATGGAAAATGATTCTTGCACCGAATAATTGCAATGAATTAATAGACCTACTCTTTTAATTGATCAATTATACAACAAATAAGGAAGTGGAACCCTCCATTTAAATGTATTTGGTATAACAAATATATAGATTGAAAGAAAAATTTAATAAATGACCATTTATGTTGGATATGTTACAAATTCGACTATTTCCAAAATAATGGATGAAAAATGCCACCTTCTTAACAAAATGTATTAATAAAGTGACAACTTTACACAACTATTTACCTATTTAACAAACACCTATAAATTTGAGTCCAAATTACCCCTCAGCAATAATTTTTATTCCTTCTTTCTAAATTTTGTATAGATAATTCGTTGAGAGAAGAACCCAAGTTGACTTTTGAACCTCTCATTATAAGGTGAAGGAGGAGGAAGAGGAAGAAATGAGAAGGAAAGAGATTTAGATGGATAACACACCAGCAACCTCCAAACCTCTCATATCATCGTGAATACAAGCTTAAAGAGAAATTGATGTGCATTAAGTGTATCAATTATAAAATCACTATCTATAACACAAATTCTTGTAGAAAATGGCTAAGTAAGGGTTATCGATCCACAAAAATTGCTAGCTTATGACAATCAAAACTCTAAGACTACTTAATTTACATTTTAATAGAAAAGATTTGGTTTGATGATTTATTTGTCATTTAGCATGAAATTAAAACTTAAAACAGAAAGTAAAATAGATTCAATTGACTTGAATATATAAAGAGAAGAGGCTAGGGAAATGATTTTACCAAGACCTCATAAACAGGCTACATGCAATCAACTTGGGGGAAAACACTTATGTATATAACTATGATGTGCAGAAGTACAAAACAACCACACATCTTCCAGAAATTCATACAATTTAGAACTAAGCATAACCCATCTTTGGTTGGAATGACTCATCCACCTAAACTAAGTTGTGGTATGAACCACCTTTCCTGGGTATGGCCTATCAAGGTCCTTAAATTGTATGTTAAAACACATGTAATTCAAGAATCTAGCATAGATTATCTTTAGTAGGCATGGACCATTTACCTAACTAAATTAATCTAAAGATGTATCGTGGTCTATCTTCCTTAAGCATAACTTATCCAAATTCTCATACAACATGACAATAAAACCATTTCATAAATTCATTCTCATTGTCACTATAAGAATATAAAGTGTATAGTTATACAAACATTATTTCTAAGACAAGATATACATCTCATCATAAATATATATATATATATATATATATATATATATATATATATATATATATACAAATGAAGATCAAATACATGAATTCAATGTGTATATATATATATAATTTATTAAATCAATAATATAGCCATAATCATTCATCTCTTAGGGGATTGATGTAGCCATAATCATAATAGCAGACCTACAAAAACATGACAAAAAAATAAGTATATCTTAACAGCACAACATTTATATGACATATGTCAAAGGCTTTCATAAATACAACATCACATCTTTCACCTAACATATATATATAATTTATTAAATCAATAATATAGCCATAATCATACATCTCCTAGGGGATTGATGTAGCCATAATCATAATAGCAGACCTACAAAAACATAACCAAAAAAATAAGTATATCTTAACAGCACAACATTTATATGACATATGTCAAAGGCTTTCATAAATACAACATCACATCTTTCACCTAACATATTCACATAAAATTTACTTCTACACTACTATCATGCATTACCATTCATGCAACAACTTTCTAACATGTACCATATGTTTCCATCACTAATATATCTAACATGTTTTAACTGTATACTAGATATACAAACAATTGGTGACAAACATAAAATTACTTTAACAGCATAACTTTTGTATAACATATGTCAGCCATTTAATAAATACAGCATCACACATTTTACCTAATATATATACATCAAATTTACTTCTACACTACTATAATGCATTACTATTCATGCATCCATTTTCTAACATGTGCCATAACAAATACATGTAACATACTACAATTGTACACTACTATAAAATACATAAATACAACATCACATCTTTCACTTAACATATCCACTGAAAATTTAATTCTACATTACTATAATGCATTAATATTGAAACAAGAACTTTGTAACATGTGACATATTTTCCATAACAAATAAATCTAACACAATTCAAGTGTACACTAGATATGTAAACAATTGGTGACAAGTATAATTTTACATTCACAGCACAACATTTTTATAACATAAGTCACCAGTTTCATAAGTACAACATCGCATATTTAACATAACATATTCACAAAAAATCTAGTTGTACACTACTATAATACATTAACATTCAGCCAAGAACTTTATAACATATGGCATATGTTGTCATAACAAATAAATCTAACACAATTCAAGTGTACACAAGATATGAAAACAATTGGTGGCAAATATAATTTTACATTCATAGCACAACCTTTCTATAACATATGTCACCAGTTTCATAAATACAGCATCACATATTTCACCCAACATATCCACATCAAATCTACTATTACGCTACTATAATGC